CACAGTGATAAAAATAAAATGTATGTTTTTAAAAGAAATCAAGAAATATTTCTTTTGAAAAATTAAAGAAAACAACAAAGTGAACTGCTGTACCCTTGCTTGTACAAATGGCATTTCAAAGAAACCAAATAGTCCTTGAAGGAAAATTATCTTTAATAGAGGAATTCCAGTATATAAACACAAAAGAAATTGAATTTTAAAAAATCACCATCTCACAGCTCCTACTAAGTAATGTTTATAAGCAAGTATTAGGAAACGGTTAATGGGGAACCTTACATTGGATGGGTCACATTGATAGCAACTGAGCCCAAGCAAGTGATGCCAAGAGAGATAATTCAGACATTAGGTGCCTCCTGAGGGGAGGCAATAAAAACACACCACATCCAATGAAGCTGATTTACAAAAAAGCAAAAATGAAAACAAAAGACCTTGAACTTGATCAAGTTTCTAGATATAACAGTGGTTCTATAAAAAAATACAGCGACAAGTAAACAACGTCACAGACATGCGATGGGACAAATCCAAAATGTGGAAAATAGAACCAATACAGAGCCAACAGCTAGGGTCTTCAACAAATAAATGGCAAGAACGAAAGCAGACGGGAGTGTTAAGGATTAACAGACATCAACCAAATGCAGTGTGTGGACCCTGTTTGGATTCTAGTGAAAAGACACTGATGAGACAACTGCAGAAACGTGAAGAATGACTGTGTATCAGATGACATTAAAGAATCATCGTTAAATGTTTTGTTATGATAATGGTTTCACAGTTGTGTGGAAAAAAAGAGATCCTTATCAGTTAAAGGTAATATCAAAGCCCTGAGAGATGAAATGATGTGATACCTGGAATTTGTTTTGAAATAATCCTGCAGGGGTGAGAGTGGAGGTGAGGAGAACTATCTGTGGAGGGGGAACAGATACAGCAAGACTGGCCGTCTGTTAATGGGTAATGGATACATGGGGGTCTATTTATCCTTTTCTCTTTTTTTAGGGTTAGAATGTCATTTTATTATTTTATTTCATTTGCATTCTTTTTTATTGAAGTATAGTCAGTTTACAATGTGTCAATTTCTGGTGTACACATAATGTTTCAGTCACACATAAAGATGCATAGATTTGTATATCCTATTCTTTTTGTGTGGAAATTTCTTAATTAAAAAGTCCTTTTTTAACCACCTAAACTGATGATCAGTCCCTTGCAAAGGTAGTGCCTGAGCAACTTAAGCTTAGCTGTGCTCTATCCACAGGCTCTTCTCTCATGTCTCCACCTCCTGCATCCAAGCAAGCACCATCTCTTATTTTCAATGTCCCCAGAAAGGCACTTTGAGCCAACTGGTCATTGTCTCTCATTCTGTATATTCAGTCTATTGCCCCCCCACCCCCTTTTATTCTGTCCTATCCTCCAACCTACCCTCTCTCCTTGGACCATTATTATGGATTTTAGACCAAGAATGTGACTTCTTTTGCAGTCACCCTTCTGCCAGCCTCCAGCAGCCACTCTTCCTCTCTCCGCTTTTTCTTCAATGGGTCTAGCCCCTGGTACCAGGGAGTTCCGAGCCAAGTAGTGGTTCACAGACCTCCTCAGTCTGGTCTCACCCTCCTACCTGGGATCCTCCTCTGCGTCACGTCAGAGGACTGGAGTGCACAGTCCTGGCTCTCTCCAACTGCTCACGTGGTCCTTCCCTCATAAGGAAGACTAATCTGATTGGTTACAGACCCAGACGTGGTGAGCTTTGCTGTTACCACTTTTTAGAAAAGTCTGTACCGGGCCTGCCTCTCCTGTATTTTCTGTTCTACCAACAAACAGGAAATTAAAGTAGCTGGTAAGTCCTTCTGCCACTGGGGTTTAAAAGTCACTCACCGCACTGAATGGATTGAGAGGTTCTACATGTGCTGCTTTCCCCATAGACAAATCCTGTCTTGATTTGAGAAATAGGCCCACCCTTTGGCCTCAGGTTCCAGCTGCATTCTGCAATCTAACTTCTAGAATTAAGAGCTGTCAGGCTGCTCATAAACTGTTGGAGAGATTTCTCTGATCCCCGTTTAGCCAGTGAGCTCTGTGTCTGTGCACGATTGTGCAGAGCTGTGGTGGGAAAGCAGGTAATGGGACCTGAAAATCTCTAACAGAAACCAAACCTTTCTTCCCCTGCTTACTGCCTAATAACATATCATTAGGAAAGGTCCACTGCTGGCCCTGATTTCAGGCCAACAAAGGGTGACAGCATGTCATTAAAAACTAAATACTGCACAAGACAAACTTAAAACATCATTATACCATATACCTAGGAAGCACTCAGAAGCCAACCTGAGAGGCTTCTGGTAACCAAAAATAGGATACTGTGAGCATCAATAAGAATAATCATCACAATGGATTAAAACATACAAATAGTCATAAGTTTATAATGATACTAAAAAGCAAACAAACAAAAACTAATTGGTCACTTTTAGAGAATGCTAGGAAGCCAAATCATTACTTTGAAAATTGGTAAATAAAGGAAAATATTCAAACATCTATCCTGCCCTTCTTAGAGGACTGTACCACTGGGTGACCAAATAGAAGATGAGGAACATTTTTCTTTAAAGAAGATTTTCAACTGATAAATAAAGAAGGAATGATAGAATTAAATTATCACCATTTTGCAGCTCTTAATGTACTAATAAACTTGACATTCACCAATAATAGTATTGACGTCATAGACAGACAACCAGGTAGAAGCACATAACACCTATAAAGTCATCCTGCTGGTCCCTCCCCGCATCAAAGCTGAATTTGATCAAGCCTCGATCCAACAGCCAATTTACCAATTTACCAATTGGAGAGGTCAGAGGAACATGTTCAACTACACATCTACCAAGAGGTGCAACCAGCAAAATCCAGGCTGTAGGAAACTCTATAGGACAAACAACTTGATTTCTTCCATAATTAAATATCAAGGAAAAAGTAAGGTGGAGGTGAAAATTATAACGGAAACTTTAAAAACGTATCAACCAATCACAAATATAATCAATCTCGTTGGACTTCTAATTCAAACCAACAGTTTTTTCTAAAAGCCACTCATTACATTTATGAGAAAATATCACTTGAATACTGACTAGATATTTGATAATATTAAGCAATTATTATTCTTTAAGGGTGATAATAGTATTGTGGTTGTGCTTTTTAAAAAACATCCTCATCTTTTAAATATACATGCTGAAAAATTATGGATGTAATGAAATGATGTCTTGCATCTGTTTCAGAATAATGAGGGGGAGGCGATACCTGCAGGTGGAGGCAGGATGGGCCCCGAGTGGATGGCTGTCGTGGAACGGGGGTCCGGAGGTCCGACGTGGGGTTCATGGCACCTTGGCCCGCTGACCCTCTGCGATAAAACTCTTTACAAAAACTTGCATATTGTAGCTTGAAAATGGGAGGTTCCTCTCTGCCTGGAAGGGTAACTTATAGACTTACCATTTTGTCGTCTCCTTCATTGTTGTTATTACTGCTGTTAAGAAAGGGAAAAAAAAAAAAAGCAATTCCTCCTCTCCTCGCCAGACCCTCCCTCCAGGGGGCAAAGTACTCTCTGAGTCCCAGAGAACTGAGCTTCCTTCGCAAACAGGGCAGAATCAAATGGCTTTGTTTTCAAAGCCTTTACACAAACCAACCAGCCTCAGACTTGCCCAGAGAGCACAGGTGGGGTCTCTGGGCCTGGGAAAGGGAGGCGGGGGAGGCTGACCTGCGACCCTTGTCAGGGAAGGGGGAGTGTGGCTGGGGGCTTTGCTGTTGGCTGGTGGGCAAGTGGGAGGGAAGAGAACGTTTTCTCTCTGGTTTGGCTTTCACACAGCTGATTCTCTGCACAGCTTCACTATAGTCTTAACTATCTTGTCAATATAGTCCCTTAACCCATTGAAAAAGCCCTACTTTTAGAAAATGTGCTCAGATGTCTCAATTTCCTCACAAGGGTCATTCTGTTTTCCACTCAGTGGCCTGAGAAGGTGGCAGGTCTTGTCCAATGGTGATAGGTGGTGGTAACAGTGATTGAAGCCAGTTTTGATGGTCAATGATTGTCATGTTCTCGGTAAAGACTGTTAGGCTTTAGAAGTACCATGTAAGCACCCAGAATCTTGTGCAACACTAGGGAAACTGAGGGCTCTTCCTAATGGTTGGCCAGAAGGGACTTGCAGCCAGACTTGCTTTAGAAAAACGAAGTGATGTTTCAGCACAAGAGTGTGATGGTTCTCTTTCACACCCAAAAGTCACATGTTATCCATTCATTCCTTCCTGAATTCTAATAAAATTAAGAACCCCGAATCTCCTTCCATGTACCTTTAGACACAATTTTTGTTAGTGGCTTACTTTTGGCAGCCACCACGCTGGCTCCTCTAGCCCCTTTAATTGCTAATACAGTCGAAAACAATGCCAGTCAGGCCCTGCCCCCACCCACTTCCACTCAGACAAGAATAGTGATCCGGACCGACTATGGAGAGACTTTAAATTTCGAAATCACGAGGGTAATGACAGTCCACTCAGAATGCTGCAAAAGGGGATGTTTTACACTTGACAAGCAAGTAAAATTGGAGCTGTCATCGAGTTGGACATAAAATACTTGCAGTATTTTCTCATCTAGATGAGTCCAGATTGTCTCAGGGAATCTGGAGGACCACTGAAAAGAAAGAACTGGGTGACAGTCTAAACAGAGGCCCTCAGTGGTCCTGGTGGGGGCGGAAGGCACAGAAGGATGTGGGGTCGTCCTGGTTTCACGTTTCCTCTGTGTCTCTTTTGCTGATCTTTCTCCTCCTCCCTGTCTCTAAATTTGAATTGCCCCCAGGTTTGGGCTTAAGAGTCCTCCTCTTCCCTACCCACACCCCCTTCTTACTGAGTAGCTAAGGACTTCCAGGGAAGTACCAAGAGATAAGTGGCACTTTGTACAGCCACTCATATAAAACTATGTCCTAAATTTTGGAATGTGCTATTTTACCTTATCTCTTTCTCCAAAGAACTAGAGTTGGCCCCAAGTTTTGAACTTTGTAAATTTATTTCAGAAAAATAAAACACCATTTCCTCAAATGAATAAGGGTTTTCTCCAGTAGGTGAGGTGAATAATTCATGGTGCTCTAAAAGCACTACAACTGATAGCAATTTTTTTAAAAAGAAGAAAGATGCAGCAATCTCACGAGTACATAGCCAAAAGAATTGGAAGTAGGGTTTCAAAAGGATACTTGCACGTTCATAGTCACAGTAGTAATATTCACAATAGGCAAGAGGTGAAAACAACTCGAGTGTCCACCGATCAGTGAATAGATAAACACAATGTGGTGTGTACAAATAAGGGAATATTATTCAGCCCTAAAATGGGTAGAAATCCTGACATGCTACAGCATGGATGAACCTTGAAGACATTATGCTAAGTGAAATAAACCAGTCACAGGACAAATACTGTATGATTCCACTGACAGAAGGTACTCAGAGTAGTCAAACTCAAAGAAACAAAGTAAAATGGTGGTTATCTAAAGCTGGAGGGAGGGAAAAAGGAGAGTTGGTTGATGGCATAGCATTTCAGATTTGCAAGATGAGGAAGTTCTGGAGATCTATTTTACAACAATGTGAATATACTTAATACTGCTGAGCTGTGCACTTGAAAATGGTTAAGATGATAACATTTTACACTGCCTGGCTTTTACCACAACTTTTTAAAAAAGAAAAACCATTTCTACAACCTCCTAATTTCACATTCTAGAAGGAAACATAACAGCTTATAATTAATAACATTGTGATAGTAAATCTGGTATTTCTCCACCAGTATCTCAGAGGGCTCACCATCCTCACTCCATAGATTAAATCATCTCCCTACTTTCTCACTCTGATTGTCTATACCCAGGCAGCCGGTCAGTCTATCTGTCCCTTCCTCTCCGTCTCTCTCCCTCTCTGTCTCTCTCCCTCTCCCCCTCTCCCTTTCTCCTCTTCTCCTTCCCTTCCTCCCTCCATCCCTTGCTGGTTTCCTATAAATAATAATTTCTGTCACATTTTTTAAACTTTAAATAATTTTCACCTTCATTATCTCATTTACACACCAGCCCTGTAAGGTAAGTGTTCTTGCTACTTTATAAATAAGACACAGAGACTTAGCACAGTTCCTAATCCCCCACTTTCACAGTGCATCACTGCTCCAGACAGAGATTCTTACACTGTAGCGTTCATAAGACTCCCCTGAGAATGTCCGTTAAAATGTGTGTTCCTGGGCCCCACCTACAGAGAGTCTGCTTTGGAGGTCTGGAATGAGACCCAGGAGTCTGAATTGCTAACAAGCACCCCCTCCCACGTGCTTCTAAGCGGGTGACTGGCAACCTGCACCTTCAGAAACGCGCAGCCCAGGAGATAGTCATTCCCAGCATGACATGAGGCAGCTGTGACCATGAACCTCTCTGCTTATTTAACCTGCCTGGAAGGGGCGGTACAGTGACACTGATCTTTTATAAGGACCTGGCCATATAAACAAGGTACTTTCTTATCTGGAAGCAGTTAGAAAAAGGAAGGGAAGGAAAGCAAGAAGCAAGGGGAAAAAGTTCTAAACACCCCACTCCATAGAAAATAATCCAGCTGGTGAAAATCCCAGCCAGCCTGCCACCACGAACATTCTTCTTCATCTCTCACCACTGGACACTTGGTACGTGCAGAGGGGACTAAACGGGCACTGCTTTTGGAAGGTGGGGGAAGAACCTGAGTTGGGCTCCTCATTTTCCAGGCAGAAGTGCACAGCGGGAAGGGCCTGGTGCTGAGTCACAGGCAAAGCAGGGCTGGAGCACAAGTCACGCAGCTTCTCCAGCCCAGAGGGGCGAGAACGGAGTTCTTTCTGCGGGGCTCTGAGGAGCTGGGGGGGGGGGGTCAGGCAGGCTCTGCAGAAGCCCAGAGTCATAAGGACAAGCAAACTTTCTGCCCAAGAGAGAGCACTCTTCTTGCCAGGAAAGTCATTGTGATTTAAATTGGATGTTGAGGGCTAAGATGAGTGAGACAAGTACAATATGGATTGAAATGGTTTGAGTATAAAGAAAAATATTCCTTTTGCAAATAGGCTACATTTATTCTGCAACTAAGAGATAAAATGAGACATCTGTGGGAAGACTTTTGTCCTTTCTTGTGGACTTATAAAAACAGACAAACTTGTGCTAAAGAAAAAAATGAATCATATTCCATAAAGCTAAATCTTATGACTACTGAAGAGGTAGAATTACCTTGAGTGGGAAGTTTGACATCAGTCAGGATTTTTGAAAGAATTCCAGAAGGTGAGACTTGGCGGTACCCAATCCTGCGTCATCCTTCTGTGATGGGAGCCTCTCCTCCAAGAGAGACTGATCTCACCATTGATGATGTTACTGATGTCACTGGGGCTCACTGAGTAGCCGTATTTCTCTGGCATGACCAGGGTCACGCAGGGTGACGGGCTGAGAGAAGACAACTCAGGGCTGTCTTGTGTGCTGTAGACAAGTCCATGCCTGGGTGTGGGCATCAGGCACCAGCACACACTCCGGCTACATGTCGGTGCCGGCTGCAGCTGCCGAATGATATGCCCCCGGGGATGCTTCCACCTTAAAGGGTGTTGCATGTTTGACACCCTCCTTCCCGGCTGCTGCGTGTCACTATCATAAACAGCCCGTCTACTAAAGCTCGGGGGTCACCACACCCCTGCCTCAGACTTCTCTGCCCTGCCCGAAAGGCATGTGGCTCATACTCATCTCCAGGTGGTGAGTCTCACATGCATGGCTAAGTGAGTGGCACATCAGTTCTCCACTGGGATATCACTCTGCCGTAATCTCGGGAACAGTGATGGAAGAAGCACCTTCCATTACTACACTTCTGTGGTTATTTTTCATAAAACCTTCTATAAGTAATGATTCCTCACCATCATTTTTATTCACCATTTTTCAAATGGGATGACCACATATTAATCATCTAAACTGGGACATTCCTAAGAGGGAGAGCTATTAATAATTACACTAGGACAAGTGCAGGCTGAGACTCTCCCAAGTATAATGGGACATATGGTCACTCCACTTATGAAGATGAGCTGAATGAAGGAAACCCGTGAAGCAGAGACCCAGCTGACCTAAGATGACATAAAACATGAACAAAAAAGAACTCATTGTAATAAACAGCTGAGATTTGGTGTTGTTTGTTATCACAACATAACCTAGCAAAAACTGATGAATACAACCCCTTGTAGCTGTGTAATTTCTTTGTTACCATCTCGGTGAAATGGGGCAATGTAATATTACCCATGTCATTGGGTGGTTGTGGGGATTAAATGAGTGACTATATGTAAAGCACTTAGATCAGTGCCTGCACAGAGTGAACAGTCCCCTGATGTACCTATTATTATTTATTACAATAATAACCTTTTAGGAGACTAAAAGAACTCTCTAACACGTGAAGTCAAATTTCAAGCAAAACATGTTACTACTCAGGAGTGGTAGGAAAGCCAATTGTCTCTCACTGCCCCACACAAGCTGTTTGCCCTTTTGGAGGCCCTGAGGCCCTGCCCCCTTCTCTCCACCTGTGAGCCCATTCTACCTACATCTCTCTCTAATACCCGACTCCACAGACCATCCTACGACTGCTTTCCTGTGAATCCCTTCACTCCCTTGACCTCTGTTTGCTTCCATCTCACCCACATGACTTAACCATGAATCAACACAACAATCCATCATTTTTGCTCCTGAGCCTGAGTTACTGAATAAAATCCTCCAGGATTTCTTGAAAATCTTTAATGGGCTCTTTCTCCCATTTACCACAAGAGATATCGCCAAATTTTACCATTCTCCTCAAGCTCTGTAACCTACCACCTTCCTCCTCACTCAGAAAGGAACTGGAGGCCACTAGGGAGGGACCATGCAGTTGAGCCACTGTTCCTACCCACCAAAAGCGATCCCTCTTTTGCTCTGGAACCTGCTCCCTGCCTCACACCCCCTCAGGGTCTTCAGCTTCTTCTCTGGGGCTCTCAGCCCTTTGAATATCAATGTGCCTGCATGGGTCCCACCTTCCAAAAACAATTCCCTCAACCTGGTGTCTCCCTCCAGCCCTGAATCTCCCCTTCTCTTCCTGCAAGTAACTGTCCCCCGTTCCTCAATCCAGTGGAAGATTATTCACTTTCCTTTACCTTATTTTCCCCTTTGCTTTTCCAGCTGTATCTCCTGCACACCATAAAATTTCTCAATATTCTTAGTCAGTATTCAAGGCAATATTCTCATAGCAGGTACTCTGAATACATAAGAATTCTAAAGACAGAAGAGAAGTGCCACTTCCTTATATTATCAATTTTCAGTCAGTCTTTTCTCTAGATTCAATGATCTCAACTCCTTTAGCTCCTTTCCATAAATGGTAATATGCTAGATCAGCAAATTTACATTTTTTACACTAAGTTACTGTCACCTCAAATGAGATTTGTAATTGGCACTCATAAAAAATGAATTATTAATACCATTTCAATAGCTCTCCTTCCGCATTCTGATTGCTGAAGTGTTTGTTGTTGTTTTTAAAAGAAGCTACTCACATTGCTACTCATTTTCAATTTGTGGTCATTCTGCCCCCTCCCAAGATCTTTATATGCCAAACCTTGGGTCATTCTAATTATTCTTCAATTTGTCAGCTTAATTAATTTGAAAGTAATCTGGGTTTTATTGGAGAATGTTAACAACAGTCCATGGATAATGTTAAAATGTTTTAAGAACAGTTTTAAAATAATTAGCAATTTGTCATTCCATAAGGCTAAACACACTAAATAAATTTGTTTTAAATTGTTATGATTATCTTTAAAAAACAAAATATCTTGAAGTAGTTGTCACAAGGCATTAATTAGCATATATAGGAATTATAAGATAAAATGTGAAATTAACAAGGCCAAGCAATTTTTAAAATTATCCTTTCAATTAGAAATGAAGTCTTTAGTGCTTAATTTTCATCTATCACCATCATTGCTATGTAGTCCTTGTAATGAATTGTATTCGATTCTGGATCAATTGCAGCAGACAACATTTCTTCCATTTCCTCCTGAGAAAAGGGCTCACCTAGGAGGAACAAGAAAGGAAACTCATCATTTATAATCTTCTGATTTTTTTTTTCTTTCTCTTTACACTACCTGACTTAATTGCCATGGAATCCCGCCATCCCCCACTGTGTCGCTAGTGATTCTCCCTGGGGCCATAAAGCCAGCACGTTATGGCAGTCCAGAGGTTCAAAGAGCATGCTGTTGTACCCCTGGCAAATCATGGAGTTATTTTACCTTGCGATATCATAGTTCAAGCAACCCACAGAATCGATCTTTTCAGCCAAAACAGAAGGAAGACATGAAAACATCATTAAATAAGGTGGTTTATTTACTTAAACTATTAAAATTGCTGGAGGATTAACCTGAAGTCACAGTTTTATAGGGGGTCTAATCACTATATTTAGTAAGGGTATGAAGAGAGGATTAAATGGTTGCTATGCAGAAATGCTGAAGAGCAGATAACTGTAACACTATCTTCTAACCAGGGTAGGCCAATTTAGTATCCAGCTACGCCCAGTGACAGATGCCACTCATCAGCCATTTCAAACAGTCCTCCTTGTTATAGTTTGGCCCAGTATTGCTGTCAAATGAAACCAAAAGTTGGATAGAAAATCTGTGGGCTTTAGTCGGACTCAGATAACAGCTGAAGGCCATCTTGGATATTGGTTTCAAGATGAAAAGCAAACATAGGAAGAACACTGGAAAGGCTGTTATCTATTTAAGACAGAACTTTGTCCTGATATTAAACAAAATACAGAAATATTCACATCGCCATCTTACCCCTACAGAGTCTTAATTCAAACAGGTAAATTACCAACGCCTGAGGATTACATACTTTTTGAACGTAAGTTACCTGCCACTACAAACAATGCTTTCTAAGGTGGAATTCAGTTAATAACACAAAAATTATTCAAGTGGGGATTTTGATGACACTGATGACTGTATCGGGGGGAATGTGCTGAGATCTTTTGAAATCATGCTTACATCCTAAAAGAGAATACCTAAAACGCCTAAAAAGACAAATTCTGAATCTTTCTTATACCTGATTTTTAAATACTAAATCCACTGCCAATGAACTTTGATGAGCATCACATAAGTCCTTATAAGAATGCTAACAAGAGTGAGGTGGGGCTACAGCTCAGTGGTAGAGTGCGTGCTTAGCATTTTTTGAGGTTCTGGGTTCAATCCTCAGTATCTCCATTAAAAAAAATTAATAATAAATAAATAAAGCTAATTACCCTCCCCCAAAAAGGAAAAAAAATTTACTTAAACAAACAAACACTGAGCTATTGGGGGAGGGGAAAAGGAATACTAACTACAAACATGTTTTGAGAGCTACTGTGTGCCAGGCACTGATCTAAGTACTTCTATGTATTAATGAAGGTTACTCTCCCAACCACCTCATGAGAGGTAAGAACTGTACCCCTACTTATACTTGAGGACACCAGCACCCAAAGAAAAAAGGCAGGCAGCCCCAGTCAGTGAGTGGTGGAATGGGGACCTGAACACCATCAAGTCCATCTCAAAGTCCATGAACTCACCAACCACTCTGCTGCTTGGAACAAGGCCCTGTTCACAGTGAAATACAGAGAGTGGTCATGGCTTTCTCGGGTAAGGAAAAGATATGCAGTATTTGATTAAGAAGGGGAGGAAAACAGCTTAATGATTAAAAGCACAAGCTTGGGCGGCAGAATGCCTGGGTTCAAATGCTAAAGCGTCTCATTAGCTTTAAGATGCCGGCAAGTCACTTAACCTCTCTGTGTCTCAGTTTTCCTGTCTGTAAAATGGAGATGATACTAATACTACCTATCTTATAGGCTTGTTATGAGGATTAAAAGTGTTATTATTTGGCTGAGGTCTATCCTGATGGGGCTTTTTCTGTAGACCTACACATCATTGGAAATGCCTCACAGAGTAAGTATGTGGTTTCCTTTACTCTCAGAACTACATGTTAGATCTGTGGGAAAGAACTACAAGACAGAGCTGCAAACTAAACTATGAAAAACCTAACAGTCAAACTTTTTGATCTTAGGTATTGGCATATTCCAACAATCAGGACTGTTCTAGGGTATGACAGCTTAGGAGTAAATATGATTTGAACTTGATGCATGTTTAGAGGGTGTCTAAAATTCAGAACCAGGCAGATCCATCTCCTCTGATCCTAACTACAGTCCTAAAGTAAGCTGCTTGAGGAAATTTGACCCCAAAGTTTACAGGTGAGGAATTTCTGAAGTATGTTCATATTCCACTGGAGATCAAAGAAGCCCAACTAAAAGAATTGTGGACTGACTGACATGTCAAATGTGGACTGAGCAAAAAATCTTTTTGAAAGGGATATCTTGAAGATTATGACTAAAATATTGGAGAACTAATGGATGGACAGTGGAAGGAAGCAGAACACGTGAAATTCCTTAAAAATTCATTGACTTTAATTTTGCCTATGTTACACATAATTAAAAACCCCTTTACACATAAACAAAAGTGTTATTATTTAAATAGCACTTAGAACATTGCCTGGCACACAGGCAGCAACATGTGTTTGTTTCAAAAAATCTTTTTGAGATCTTCCCTGCTGCCAAATACTATCTGACACAATACACACACCTGGACACATGTGGACTTCTATCTTGCAGGAACTTGATTCAGTGTGATTTATTACACTGTGTGTGTTCCTCATAGAACACACACTCTCAAACTGATTAATATTCTGTGGATATTGTGGAAAGCTGCATTGGTCTCTGTATCCTCTAGTCTGTTTCTGATTCCCTAGTTCAGTAGTGGCATTTCCACAATACCCATCGTCCAGGCCAAAGCCTTCCTACATTTGACTCAGCTCGCACCTTTGCCCCCTGCACTCTGTTATTCTTCATGACCTGTGGATCCACTGTAGACAGTCCTATTATCTCAATCTCTTCTTTCCATTCCCATTGTCCCTGCCAGATAAAGCCCTTATTAGGGTACCTTCAAAATGCTGAAATAGTCTCCTGATTAGTCTCCCCAGTCCAATCTCTTTCTCACTCATCTAACAAACCCACCAGCACCAGACTAAGCTCCCACAATCCCTCTTACATCATGTGACTCATCTGCTCAAAACCCTACAATGCTTCTCCACTGCCCACAGGATGAGTTCTAAACCCCTGAGCCCAGGCCTCCACAATCTAGTCCCAGTAAATCTGCTTACGTTCATTTTCTACTGTTTGCCAACAAGACCCTCTGGGCTCTCTCTCTTCACAGGCTCCTGAAACATCATGCTCATTCCTCCCTCCCCGTTGTTGTTCATACTTTTTGTCAGTCTCTGTCTCCCTCTCTTCAGCCCCTTCACCCATTCTACATTCATCTACTGACTCATTCATTAATTCAACAAACATTCGCTGAGACTTACTATGTGTGGAGGTGGCATAATGCGTAGGATTTTACTCCTGCTCTCAGTAACTCACCCATAAACTCCACTATCTTAAGAAATCTCTTCTGTCTTCCCAGACCAAGCTTTCCAGGCTGGTCCAGCCCACACGGATCTTCTGATACAAGCTTTTTTCTACTGTCTTCTATTTTGAATTGTCTTATAAGTTAGTTCTATTTCCTCCAGTAAGACTATAATATCCTTGAGAAAGGGAGCAGATTTTAGTATCATTACCTCTCAATGCACTTAGTATCCCTCACCTGCACACAGTAGGTGCATCATACTAACGACATTGAACTATTTTGGCCTTTTTAACTAAATTCATATTGCCTAATATAATATAGGATTTACCTCCCTTAAATTAATCCTTAGGATTAAGAAGCCAATGTTTTAAAAGTCATAATATTCTCATCAAAGTTAATCCCTAAGATAATTTTAACAACATCATGAGTTCCTTACTCTCACCTCCTGTATTCTCACCTAATGATGGATCAAGTCAAAATGGTCAAACTAGCGGCACATGGAAATGCTGTCTTAGTCTTCCCTACTCAAAATTACTTGCACTTCTGATTCTGTCTCAAGTGATTAGCAACTCTGAATCATTCAGGATTCATCTGTGAACTACTGAACTGAACAGAGACAGAACTCTAACTTTATATGGGAAGAGGGGAGGTGATCAACATGAGAACGGTTTCAAGGGAATGTCCACTGGGCTACTGACATTCAGGGAAAACAAATTTGCACATCAGCCTAGGAAAAGAGAATTTCTAAAGGAAATATGTTGGCATATATAGGTGTACAGGTACTACGTATAATTTGTGTGTGTGTGTGTGTGTGTGTGTGTACAGTTCAAGTACAAAGCAAATGGTACCATTAGCATAAAAAACTGAAACATTTTATGTGAATTCATATTCATTTGAGGCTGTATTATCCCTAACTTCACCAACTGAAAAGTTCTTTAAAGAAGGAATTTTGATAGACTCCTGAATCTTCAATCTAGTAACACGCACTGACTTATAGTAATTGATAGTTCATGTTTTCCAGGTGGCATACTTTTCACTCTGGAAACACCCTATAAGGGAATAGAATGACTTCAATTTACAGAAGTATCATTATACTTTACAAAATCCTATAAGGCAATAATCCATCTCCCCTTAACCTACTGTTTGTCCACTTTTCCCCCCATGAAACAGAAACCACCCCAAAACCAAAATAATAATAGTAACTGACTCCTTTTAACTGGAATGATGGATTTTAAAGTATCCCCTAGAATTTTTACATAACTGTTTTTAAATTATTAATCACTTTAAAAAGTCACTGCTATAAGTAGTAAATCACTCTCACCTTCTTCAGTCATATACTTGATCAGTTCTTCCTTAGAAAGAAACCCACGTTTAGCTGGATCTAATACCTAGGGGGAAAGGAAAGATTGAAATTATATTTTTGTTTAGTGAATAAAATCTACTTAATGAATTTTTCATATAAATATATGTAAAACCTGGAGCTTACATACCTCAAAAGCTCGAAGAAGGATATCTTCTGGAATTGGTCTGTATCTAATTATGCAATAAAAGGATTAAATCTCACAGTACTTAGCTCAGTCTACATAACAAATGATCACATTTTTTAAAAGCTGCTAACATTCTAGGATAATGATACTTCCCTCACTGAAATATTTTTGGGTTTCTAGATAATAAAGTTAAAAGCACTCCCCACCCACAGGGAATACTCAGTTAAAAATCACTGGCATGCTTGATGTTATCTATTAGCTTTTTTCATCATTCTGGAAATCAATTTATTTGGAAATAAAATTTCTACAGTAAACCAATTATGGTAAGCTAATGCTACACTTTCTCTAGAAAAATAATTGGAGTTAATTCTTATTTATCATCGATAATTCAAAACAGAAAATGATAAGAATGTTGATTTATGCTTTTTGTAGCTTATCTGCCCTTTAATTACACTTTGCTTATTAGATTAATATTGAAGTGGTTGATATTTCTGAGAACATACCAACCAGCAGTTCAGAAGTGTAGAGAAAAATTAGAAGGAAGTTATCCAAAGATAAACATTGGTTGCATATAACATACAAAGTGAAAAAGACAAGTATTTTGAAATTAATGTGATTCTAATCATTACTTTACCTTAACAATTGCATTTACGTTCTTACCTTCTTTCCAGTAGAACTTCAGTCATCACTGGAAGAAATTTTTCATACCGAATGTATCCAGTGGGTTCTTCTTCCTCTACCTAAACATTCAACAGATAACAGCCACTTATTCATTCAACAAATGTATTGAGCAACTACTTTTTCCAAGCACTGTGCCAAGTGCTGGGCATTTGCTAATGAGCATAATTGGGCATGGTCCCTGCTCATAGAGTTTATATTCTGGTAATGGATTCAAATAGTAATTCAAAAAACAACAAAGATGAATGCCTAATTCTAAGTTTACGTAAGCACACTAAAGTAAAGGAGCAGGGGTCTACTAGAGCACAGAATAAAGGAAACTTGTAGGCCAGATCATCAGGAAAGGCATTCATGAGGAAATCACACTCAGGTTGATTTCTAAAGGATGAGTAGAAGGCAATTAGACAAAGACAGCAGTGAGGACACTCCCAAGTAGATGAAAATGCGTGCTCTAAGAGCCTGCTGGAGGGTCTTAGAGGCCAGGATGCTGGAGAATAGAGAGCAAAGAGGAGAATGTTTTCAGATGAGGCTGGAGAGAGAAACAGGGGCCAGGCCGTGCAGGGCATTATCATCCATGAAAGTGACTTTGGTTGTTATCCTAAGACCAATGGGAAATCACTGAAGGTCTCATAGATGTGTGTCTGAAAGATCACACTGGTTGCGGGTGAGGCGACTTCCGCAGTAGTCTAAGCAGGTAAGATAAAGGCTTGGATTGGAGGGGTGGTCATGGAGAGAGAAGTGGATGGTTACAGGAAATATTTAAGAAGTAAAACCAGTCAGACCTGGTTGCTGCATCTATTATGGGCAAGGATAAGAAAAAAAGAGGAGTCAGGGACAACTCTCCGGATTCTGACTTGCACAAATGCAATGCAGTGATGCTTTTCCCTGAGATAAGGAGCACTGGATAAGAAACCAGGTTAGGGGACCAATCATTAGCTTGAGGACCAAAATACATATCAAATCATTGTAATATTTATTAAGTAACTAGGTGGTCTGTGGAACATTGTTATACCACCACTAATTAAGAGAAGACTACACCTCAGAAAGAATCTTTGGTCCCTAGCACTGTTAGATGAGAATAAGAAAGACTCATGCCTGTAAGGTTCACCTTTGATGGGATGGCTGAACAATACGCTATTGATTTTAACTTTCATGTCAGGCTATTTATGAGGAGCTGTAAATTTTCCACTCCCTTTCAAAAATCCTATTAAAAGGCTCACATATCCCAATTCAACAGTGGAGATTTTAAAAGATTTATTCTTTGAGCAAAAAGTAAGAAATCTATAGGTTGCTGCTAAGTGGAACACACTGTCATCAAATGACAACTATTTTTTAATGTTTATACGAGGTTCTCACCCAGTATGAGTGGAGCCCTTGGACTCTACTGTCAGCAAAAAATGTCATCCACATAATGACAGAATGATGTGTTTCAGAATTTCTGAGCCCATCTATACATGAACAATGGTTTTCAGCTGCCTTTAAATCCAAGACAAGCGTTTTGCAAATTAATGTTCATATGGCTCTGATGTGCTTGAGTAGCACTCTAACTCCCGACTCCAGGAGCCTCTTAAAAATGTCAATCTCAAGAGACTGCCTTTAGAAGGATAATTTTTAAATTAAAAGGTTGAGTTTCTATTCTGATTAGTCCAGAAATCTGCTCCAGAAGCCAGAGCAATGGTTTGATTCCCTTTTCTGCCACCCCCAACAAACTACTGCAGAGCAAACAGTTTTGACCTTGGAAATCAAAACTCCTCTTATTTTATGAGCATCCTCTTCAATCTACAAACTGTTTTTTGTTTTTTCAAAGGGAGTTTAACCCTATAGCACTCTCCCCATCATGTGAGAATTCACAAACACACATACATATGTGCCTCAAAATTCCTACCCCTTCACTCCCTCCCCCCACAACACACACACAACTTCCACAAGCCCCTGGTACTGTGAACATAGGTGAAAACTCTGCAGATCATTCTGGCCTGACAGATCTGTGTAGTGCCAAAACTGCACAAAAGTAGTGAGTTAAAGCAGATCGCCAATGAATCAGGACAGAATAGACATACATTTTCCTTGACTTTTTTTTTTTAAAAAAAGAGGGATAATGAACAAACAGAGGGCTTGTGGTTAAAAAGTAAGAAGAAAAATATCTAAGTCCATCTTTAACTTGGGCGGGTCGTGAAAATCTATGACCCAACACTGTCCTCTAGAGGCCACATCTAATGCATTCTTTTGTATTAAAAGATGTATAAGCAATGGCATAAAAACAATATAATACGATATTTCTAAATACAGCATTAGTGAACTGTATAATATATACCAGACACTAGATTATTTAAAATTGTATATTATTTAAATAAATCTATTTTAGAATAGTTTTAGATTTACAGAATAGTTACAAAGCTAGTAGAGTTCCTATATACCCCACTTCGTCCAGTTTCCTCTAATTGTTAACCCTTACATGACTGTGGTACAACTATAGATGGCTCATTGTCACAACTAATGAACCAATACTGATACATTATTACTCACTAAACTCCATGCTTTATTTGGATTCCATTGATTTTTATAAAAGGTATTTTGAGAATATGGTATATTGCTCTATCATAAAAGAGAAACAACAGGCAGAGGGCAGAATACCACTTCTGGCAATCTGGAAATGGGTGGGGGGAGTGGAGGATATGAGATGGTTCTATTATCTCTGGTGCAGGACAAACTAGTTAGCTTTATGAGGCCATAAGTAAGATAGGACAAAAACACTACTTTCTAGAAATGTTATGCAATGATGGCTTAATGAATCTTTACATCACATATTAAAACTCCTTTAAGTCTTAATAGAAATAAATCAAATATTAAAACCATACTTCATAGTATATTATATATGTGTAAATATATACACACACATATACATATATAGGTATAGAGAGAGATATCAGTTGAGTTGCATTCCCCCAAAATTCATATGTTGGAGTCCTAACCCCTAGTACCTCAGAATGTGATTTAATGGGAGAGAAAGTATTTACCAAGGTAATCAAGTTAAAATGAGGTCATCAGAGTTGGCCCTAATCCAATATGACTGGTGTCTTTATGAAAAGGAGATATTTGGACACACAGACATGCACTCAGGGAGAATGCTGTGTGAACATAAAGACAAGTCATCTACAAGCCAAGGACAATGGCATGGAATAGATCCTTCCCTCATAGCTAACAAAAGGAATCAACCCTGCCAATACCTTGATTCTGTACTTCTGACCTCCAGAACTACGAGACAATAAATTTCTGCTGTTTAAGCACTGTTTATTGTACTTTGTTACAGCAGCTCTAGCAAACTATTTATATACACACACACATACACACACACACACGTGTATGTATATATATACATGTGTATATAGCCTAAATATGTATGGTACATTTTAATCCAAATTCTTTGAATCACTATCATGAAGCGTAAGTCCCTACACTTATCAATGGGAGATTAGGAAAGCAGATATTCAAAATTCAGAACTGATTTTACAGAGTTGATAGAATATGATGTAGCCAGACCTACTTTCTCCAGGAGAAAATAAAATTAACGAACTTATAATGAAATAAATTCAAGAAACATTCCCTAAATTATAGTAGACATGTTTGAAAAGACTAGCATTGACATTTCTTCACTTGGAGCAAAGTCATACTGAAAAAATCCATTTGACTTCTGTAGTAGTTAGGTTCTTTAAAAAAGAAAAAAGGATGTTGTCTTCCCATAGAAAAATATATTCACCATGTTAGACCAAGGATAGTTTAAAATACTCTAATTAAAACTCATCTCCCAGCATCCACATTTGTAATATGGGGAGGACAGTAATAACTACCTTACATGGTTGCTGTGAAGGTTACATGAGATCTAACATAAAGGTGCTTTGTGAACCTTGAATTATTATAATTATTATTGTTATCAATAGTATGCATACTTCTGGCTCTATATCATGCAATGACACTTCGTCCTAAAAAAATCCATCTCTGTTGCTAAAATTCTTGACACATCCTCCTTTATCCACCATATGGACCTGTTTTTGCAGAAGTCTGATCATGTCTCATAGCTGTAAAATGCCACATGGAATATGGCGAGAGTGTATTAAATTACTAGGCTAAGACCTTATCCCTTGCCCCTGGACCCCCACCTAGAGGACAGAGTAGTGGAATAGCAGCAGTGATGCCTCCACTTCTCCTATTGCCCTCATGCCTCTTTGCACCGATAGTAGAGGGAGAGGGACAGCCACCAAATGCTTCCCTCCTCTTCAAAAGACAAAGACAAACAAACCAAATGTGTCCTGTTACTGCAAACATGAATGAGACCAAGTAAGGTATAACCTAGTTTGTTTCATCTAAGGGAAAGGTTAATGTGCTGAAAATGAGGTAATAATTAGAAAGCAACCTTGGCAGCATTTACAAATGCAAAGGAAATAAAACCTCTTTGTGCAGGATGATCCTCTGGCTTAGGTGTCAATTATCATTTACAGAGAATTCACCTTAACAGTGTGCCAGCAGATGTTCGCCTGGAAGACCTTATACACCTGGCTTCTCCTTCTCCAAAGAACTACAGTGGAGTAGGCCACCTGAAGAAACAGCACTGCTTCCTTGGCACACAAAGAGGCCCCCCTCCACAAGGCTACCGCTGTGCCTTCAGACATTCCATAGTCTCTCTGCATCCTCTTCCTCAATATGGAGTGGTCTCAACATATATGTAAATACTGTGGGGTTTTTTTTAAACAACATTTCTCTAAGACTCAAAGCATGAGGCAAATACTGTTTCTTACTCTATTTCAGTAAAAGTCAACTTTTTAAACCAGTCCTTTTAAAAATATTTTATTTATTTGTCATTATATTAGTTAATTATTTTATTTTGTGGGATTAGGGGGATGTAATTAGATTTATTTATTTTTTAGAGGAGGTACTGGGGATTAAACCCATGCTAAGCATGCACTCTACCACTGAGCTATACCCTCCCCTCAAAGTCAATTTTCTTGATCTGTTTTGCATCTGAGGAAATTTGGACACAGGGAGGTAAAGTGCCTGTCTTCGTCCT